ACCAAGCCGACCTTCGAGCTCGAAACTAGTTAAATGTTTAAGTTTTCTGTAGTATTGAAGGTAGGGCAAACAAATGCAGTCTGTTCTGTGGTCTCACAGCAGCGCTCCATACTATTTGTTTACGGATACCTCTGACTGGACGGCTGTCGTCTAAAATCTCTGCTTATAAGAAATCCTGCAATCGCGTTAGTACTGGACAAACCCTGGTCCCTAAAGATATCTCCTGAATGTTCGCCTAAATAAACGCGCTATCCTGCCAGTATGCCGTGTTTACAGGAACTTCTGATAGGTTGTGCTTTTTGAGGATAGGATTGGTCTCAGGACTGAGACTGACTTGTCTCCAGTGTAGGAGGTATAGTAGTGTTGGCCAAATGTCATAGTTCACGTACACATGCCCTTTGAATATTTATTTGCGTACTTTACTCAAAGAACTGTCATTCAAGTTATTCTACCTGAGCCATTTTATTTGCTGGTTTTTTCGCATGGACATACGAAACCCCGCGCATCCGCCTTCGTCCGCACCAGATGAGTACTTTTTACTGCTAAGCGATGTACCTAGACTGGCGTGAAACTGTTCGTGGTTGACTCTCGGTTTGTGAATACTACGCACTTAACCTTACTGCAATGAGAGCAACATGCGTTTTGACGTAATACAGGACTACATATTTGCAATCAATTCACAGGCAATTTATCGCTGAAAAATGATTCACCGTGTACCTGAATCTGCCCATTTTTTAGAAAAGCAAGAAATCCCGGGAACGTCGAAAATAGCTGTAATTTAGTTTCGTTTTTAGACGTAAAGAGTGTCTTCTTATCCATCAAAACGGAGTTAATATCAATTTACAAATAACATAACGATCAAACATAGTGTTTTTTTCTGTGAAGTCCACATCTAAGTGTCGTGTAATAATTAGTGTAATCTCATGTATGACGGTTTGTCAACAGCCTTCGGTCGGAGTATAAATTCGAAAACAGTTTGCGGAGATTTCGCGGTATTTTTGACTTACTTGGGCTGATTGAGATGCAGTTCAACAGGCGAAACTAGATTTTGCTTGGCTTCGCCGATGGAGGCGTCTTAAGAACAAAAATTTACATAACGTCACATGCTGCCAGGCCAATCGGTGACCAATAAATTTCGTTAGAACTTATAGGCGTAATCTTAAACATCTTATTTTGTTGTAGGGGGCGCTCACCGATCGTTCTTACGGAACTCACTCGTTCCGTCGTGCCTTACGGGCACTCTCTCTCTCTCAATCTTAAACATATTACAGTACGTGACCTATTTCATGAAATCTGAAAATGGAAACTGATGAGAGAACTTCTGGACGCCTTTAACGTTGAGCATTTTGTTCGCTCTTCCACTTCCTTCAATAAAATGTCCTTTTCTTATGCAGAAATTGTGTTTACGTAATTATATCAAGTAAAATATCTGTAAATTTTAGCGAAAATGGACCTTGGATGACATTCGTGTAATTTCCTATACTAATACGTGTCTTAGACTCCGGTTTCGCATCTGAGCGGCTTTTTCATTGAAAGGATATTAATTTGCCCATGAGAGTTTTAATAAACAGGTTTAGCCGGGCTATAAATTTTATTTTAAATTCTATGATAGCCGTGTTGATCCACCTGCAAACACAAAGGTTATTTTAAGAAAAACAGAGGTTTTATCAACTCCATCAACGGAGTGCAGTAATAAAGCACATCTTAAAGGGGTAACTTACTACCGAAAGTTTTTTCATTGATCAAAGGCATATGCGTTGCTGACTTTCGTTGTGGACAGACATTTTTCTCGAAAATGAAGTTTTATGTTTGAATGAGTCTTCAAATATGACCCAAACGACCATCTTCGTGAAAAGGAGCGCCCGAACACACACTGATTCGGTAAAGGCCTTCAAGAATAATCTTACTTTTAAGTTCTCAACAGACAGGCAATTCAGAATCTGCCTTTATGGACGATCGGGTGAAAACACTGAAAATCACTAAGTATTCAGCAACATTTCGAGGCCGATTTGAAACTCAACGTTATCCAAAACGAAGAAGAAGTGTAAATTAATTTAACGGAGGAATATTTATCTTTATAAACTCAAAATGGCACGTTCACGATCACGCCTGCCAGTTCTATTAGGCACCGACCGGTCTCGTGGCATGTCACCTTATAAAAACTTTTGTTCCTACGACGTCCCCATCGGTGAAATCAAGCAAAATCCAGCTTCTCTTGTTGAACCCCATCTCACTTACTTTAAACAAATAAAATGAAGGAGGACTCACTGGAAAACTGTTTTGGAGTCTGCACTCAGAATGTAGGCATATATGAAATCACACTACTCATTAAACGATATTTAGATGTAAACTTCACTAAAACACTGTTATTAGACGTTATTTTATGTCTACTTTCATATTTACTACGTTTGTGGTATGATTATACATTATGTACATCTAAAAACGACGTTTACTAAATTAGAGCCATTTCTGACGTTTTTGGGGTATTGCGCTTTTCAAAATAAATCGGAATTTCTAAATAACGCCACACTGTCTTTAACAATTCTTTTGTGTTTTTAATGCTTTTAAACTTGTAGTTAATTAACATAGAAATCGGACTCGTGAAATGGTGTCGGTTTGCGAGTGATTAGCAATCATTCGTAAATTTGGACACATTTCATGCGTTAGGTCACTAACTGTATTTTTTGGTGGGGGACGCTCACCGATCGTTCTTAAGGAACTCACTCGTTCCGTCGTGCCTTACGGGCTCTCTCTCGAACCCAACCAGCAGCCGCACAGCGGCGCATGATATAGGCAGTACGTTATTACCGGCAAAGACAAGGGAGACTTGAATGGCCATTTCCGGCGTATAAGCTGTCGTTAGCTAGTCATACCCAAGGGCCGAACCCCTCGTAGCTGTGTCACGCAGAAGCAGAGTATCGGCGAAACACATGTCTGGGCATTTAGTTGTTACACGTGTCCGGAGTACGGTATGGTATCTTTGACGCATACATTTCATACTACTTGTGGTAGTACTCGTTTATTGAATTGGCATTACGTGGTTATTCTACATTAGTCGATTGTCTTCGACTCTTGGGATCGTGGCCGAGTGGTTAGAGGCGTGTACATCTAACCAACAGGTCGCGAGTTCGAGCCTCGCGTGTTCCACGCTTCGGGATTGGGTTTGACTGACTGACGACGGCTAATAAGCCAAACATTGCTATTCCAGTCTTCCCTGTCTTTGTCTGTAATAACATACAGCCTATATTATTTTGTGTTTATAAATAGAACTTTTTCTTGCGTTAAATTAACGTGTAATTTTAGTCTCTTCAGGATAACGCTGCTGATTTTCAGTGTTGCCATCCGATCGCCCATAAAGAGGTATTCTGTAACATGTTTCTGTTAAACTTTTAAATAAGGCATTTATCGAAGTAGCGAGTGTTTGGACGTTCTTTTTCATGAAGAAGGTCGTTTGAGTCGAATTTGATGACTCACGCAAGCATGAAACTTCATTGTCGAATATAATAGCTGTCCACAACGAAAGTCAGTAACAAATAGGCTTTCAATCACAATTTGAAAACTCTCTTTAATAAGTTACCTCTTTAGGAAGTGCTTTCTTACTGCACTCCGTTGACGGATCTCTGTGTACTTTGCACTTTTGCACGGTGAGGCCAAGAAAAGAATATGACAATTTTGGCCGTTTCTTTCACCTTCCGAAACCATACTGGTATATTTCTACCGTAAACGCAAGATTATATCTTTCTCTATATATTGCGGCCATTTTCATTGTTTTTGCTCGCGTTTAGACTCCGTTCATCGATTATGAATGCACGAGAGAGCGTTCACATAAATACTGATATTCTGATGAAACTGCTCATGTTTTGCTCGTTCCATTTCTAAATAAGGCATTTGCGCAAACTAGACTACACGGCGAGGAATGTTTCTTATCTTCAAGACTGGAAATGACCAATTGGTAGTGGTCATTTCGGTGACATAACGTTAAATCCTCTAAACGGCAAAACAATTTCAGCCCATTTAAACAAAGGAATCCCTGTCTGCGTTATTACTGCACTTCAGGGCACCAAGTCGCACTGACCTGCTAATATGACTTTTTTTAAAAATCGTGAAAATATTTGGTTCTTTTAAAGTGACCTTTGTGTGGGCAAATTGATTACCACGGTTAGGATCGGACATGAAACAAATTCTCAAGTCCGCAAACCTCTGCTTATTAAAATTCCCGTTAGTAAATTAGTCTCCTTTTAAAGAGGAACACGCTTAAATGCACAACCGAAGTCTAGGACAGATATTAGCATATGAAATGACACGAATATATTGTAACGGTTATTTCCGCCAAAAAAAAATATTTAATATTTTGCTGGATATAATTGCGCAAACACAATTTCTGCACAAGAAAAGGACATTTCATTGAAGGGGCCGAATAAGCAATCAAAATGCGTAACGTTTTAGACGTTACGTATTCTCTTTGGGTATTTATTTGCGAACGTTACTAAAGGACTGTCTTTAAAATTATTTCACGTGAACTATTTTATTTGCTCGTTTTTCCGCATGGACATACGAAAGCCCACCCAGCCACCCACCCTTCTCTGCTAAGCGATGCACCTAAACTGTACGTCTGTTTAGTCGGACGACCATGTGGTTTTTACGAGTATTCTTTATCAGCACAAAACGAACCAAAACCCAATGGCAATAATTGAATTTTCGTAGACGGTGTCCTCATTAGCAAGTTACACGTCAGTCCATTTGGCTTTGAAAGTGCGCCATCGGCGGTTTCTAGCCCACGTAGCCCTGGCCAATAAAAATAACTCGGGGGGTCTCACCTACGCATTACACCACATAACTGTGCGACTATCGCCCAATCGAATCCGCACTTTGAAATCGGCCAATCAGGACCTGAAGGTCATGAGTGCGTGCGGGCGGGTTCAAAGTGTGCTGGCACTATAAGAGGCAGTGCTAATGGCACTCGCGATCATTCTTCGCTCCTGTTCCGGTTATCACTCGAAATGGCGCTTTCAGACGTTGAAGTATTCGAAGACGCAGTCCCCCTGGTTCGTAGCTGTCCAGCCCTCAACGAGATTCGCACTTCGGGAGAATTCAAAGAGCTCGTCATAGAGGTAGCTCTCCTTCCTGTTACCGTTCTTTACACGGAAATTTGTTCATGCTTGTTAGGTGAAGGACGGCGCTATTCTCAATGCCCATCGAATAATACTAGCAGCTCGAATTCCGTCATTGCGAGCTGCTCTCAGTGGCGCCCTCGGGAAGGATAATTCGGTGCTTAAATGGCCGACGGTGCCTCTGAAGTAAAGTCATCCTCCTTTCTCTGATTTTGCTTTTGCACTTTCTAGCCTCGCAAATTCACTCCTCCAGTATGTGTACACCGGGCAGTTGGAGGTGACCCAAGCGAATGCGATGGCCATAGTGATGTTTGCCAAAATGATGAAAATGTCTGATCTGGAGAATTGGGGAGTTCAATTCATGTCTAATAGGTAAGCAAGTGCCGGTTCTTTCTGTCTAACTGTCGGCTGTAAAGAGTGAATTTAGAAAATCTGGCAACCACGTGGGACTTTGCCAAATCTATGCGCATGGAATCCCTGATGGAGACTTGCATCAATCTGATGCAAGCGCAGTTTACGAGTTTCGTCTCTACTGACCTCTTTATTCGTCTGCCAGCTGACACCGTGCTGACGTTGTTGCGAAACGACAATCTGTCAGTGGACTCTGAAGAGGCAGTTTTTGAGGCGATTTCAAGCTGGGTGGCTGCCGGCGATAAGGAGTGCGATACTAAGAGACTGAGATTGCACGCCCCGGAGATGCTAAAGGAGGTTCGTTGGTGTCAGACAACTGTCCAATTCCGAAGTCGCTTACTCAATAGTCATCCAATTTTCCGGGATAACAACAGCTGTGCGTAAGTATATCCTCTTCCAGTTCGTCATTTATTTTCTAATGAAAGTCGCTTTATGGCTCAGGTGGAACAGTGGATGATCATTGCGGACAAGGACAAGCCTCCGTGTCCCTTCAATCGACGTCGGAGAACGCATCCGACGATCTTCTTCGTATTTGGAAAGGACAAAAATCAGAACAGGTGGTCTGTCCTGCGTTTCGATCCGCAGCTGCAAAAGGAAGAGAGGATTGCTGACATGGAGAAGCGAGAATTCGCCACCTACAGTCTCGTGGGCGGTGAGTTGCCTGACAGTTACGCACCTCCTCTTCTGCGCACCTGCCTTGTTTTCCTCTTTTGTCTAATTTGACCAGTTGGTGTCCCTTTTTGCCAGAATTATAACAAACACACAGTCCTGCCGGTAAAGCTGCCATCGCCACACAATGCATAGGGTTGTAGTAGTAGTAGTAGTAGTTGTAGTAATTGAGGGCTTTTGAGGTCTTGGAGTTGTCCATTCGCCTGGTCTGTACCGACGCGTTTGCTGTTTTTCGTCTTCAATTTACCCAACCGTGTCTCCACCTGCGTGGTTTGTGTCCGTCACTGGCGGCCACTCAACTGGGAAATTTGTCCATCAACGTCTTTTTCACCGACGTTGATATTTCCCCTCTTTCTGTCAAATGCACGCCTTTTTATTTTATCTTTCCTATCTTCTTTTATCTTTTCAGTTTATCTTTCTTCCACGCAATTTTATGAAACTTTTTTCTATCCCACCTCACCCCCACTGAAGAGAGCATTTTCGTGGTTGGAGGAATAGGAAACTCCACGAGTGTCGAGGAGTTTCTGGTGGCAGAACGGCGCTGGCGCAAACGGGCGTCCCTCGCTGTTGGACGCTGCTGCCACGCAGCCGCAGTCCTGACGGAAGCCGGAGGGGAGGCGCTTCTCGGCGTTTTCGGTGGATACAACGGTGGACGCCTCTCCTCTTGTGAAGTCTATAAAGTCAGTCGGGACAGGTGAGAGCACACTCGTCCTGGCGACTCCTTTTTTTCCTGCAAAATCTTCCTGTTTTGCCTCCTCACTCGTCTCCTCCTCCTCCCCAACACACAGGTGGTTCAAACTGCCCAATATGCGACATAAGAGGAGCGCCACAGCTGCTGCCTGTCTGCCCGGCGACAGCAGAATCTTCGTTTTTGGCGGCCAGAATGGCTCCTCCGTGCTGGCTTCTGTGGAGTTCTGCCACCTGCGAGCAGACTGGCGAAAGAGGGCGACCTCGTCGGACTTTTGGCAGCCAGCCGCACCCATGAGAACTGCACGATGCCAGCTGGCAGCGACACACTTTCGGGGGAAAATCATTGTCGCCGGGGGATTTGGTGTTGATGGAAACAGATTAAACGTGGTGGAGATGTTCACACCACCAGATGCCAGGTGTCCCCAGGGCCAGTGGACAGAGTTGACTGGCATGAAGGAACCCCGCTCGCTTTTTGCTCTTCTCACCTCCACCGACGACGCCATCTTTGCTCTCGGTAATGATGCCTCTTCCTTCTTTGCTCTACACTGACTGCATTCCTTCTCCACTTTCTCCTCTTTTTCATGCCATTCCATGGCCTTTTCTGTGTAAGTACTTTTTCTGAGGAAGATTAAGACATGCCTAGTGATGGCAACCAGGTGAAAATATGACTTTGCATGGCGTTTCGTAAACACAACGAGGTTAGGGCCGATGGTAGGCCGTTTGTAGTGCAAATCGTCTGCCTATTAAAGTAGAGTTTTACGAGAATTATGCAGCCGAATGGTTAAAGCGTCTTCAGTAGATACTGCGTTCAAAGCTTACTTTGTCTACTCAGAGTTTTATTGAAATAAATTTTTGTCTAGCTGTATTGTGCAAATCGTATGCTAATTTTGTCTGTTTTGATATTTATGAAGATAGAATTTCACTGGAATTATTCACAATTTGCAGGCAACTGGGATGGATCAGGAAACACGGTGGAGACTTTCACAGCACCAGGCGGACCAGCTGATGTCAGCAACGACTTCACAGCTTGGAGCTGGTCGTCGAAGAAACCACTGGAGACGCTCGAAAAGATCGCTGGAGCTGCAAGCATTCTCATGTAAACTTCTGCGTTTCTTGATGTTCCTTCTATGACCCGCATGTTAAGAAATAAACTAATTGCAATGTAACCTGTTTTGTTGTTTTTTTTGAAAACTCGAGTGAACATTATTTTCGCTCCAGCGATCGAATGATTATCCTTACATCAAAATGACAACGCCAAGAATGCTTTACTTCTGAAAAATAAGTGGGTTCAGTCTCCGAAGTTGTTCCTAATCCTAAGTGGTGGGATTCGAACCCACGACGGCAAAGAGAGGCCTTCGTACAGCCAACGATCTAGCCACCTAAGATACAAGGCCCCTCCGCCCGACGCGAGTTTAATCACATCTAAATAAAGTTTTCCCGCCCAACTTACTGCAGCGTCTTGAATCCACCAAATCTGATACAGTAATTTGACTGCCCAGGCTTGATTTCCTAAGTAATACTTCTAGAATCCACCAAATGTCTACGGGTCTCACGTAATTCATAGGTATAATGGCAGATACGATTATTGTAGCGCCGTCCAGTGGAGCATCTTAGCTCAGTTTGAATAGAGCGTTGGCTGTACTAAGGATTCCCCTTGTTGTCGTGTGTTTACACCCCATCGAGACGCCGAGTATTTCATATTGGTATCAACATAACTGGTCTGTGGACTTGAGATTAATACGGCGATATCGACAATAGTCGGTCAAGCTGCAATAGGCTCGTCTTGCGAATCAGCATAAGGAGACTTTAGGAAATATATTCTGTAAACTGAAGGGGCTCTCGTTTCTGGTGGATAGGCAATTTAATAATATACAGGGGTTATACATTCAGGTGTGGCACAACACTGACGATTCAGATAAATTCCCCACGAGCTGGTTGCAAACCTGCAGATATGTATTCTCTTACGAATGTTGCACTAATTGCATTAGGGCTCCTGTCCTCATTATTCACAAACCAAGTTACAGACGCGAGCAGATCACGCCACTTTGGGTGCAGTGATTTGTACTAAAATCTACTGATCCGATGCGGAGGGAGGGAGGGAGCTGGCTGGATGGGATTTCGTGTGTGCAGATTGCAAGCCTGCTGGTGTTGCGTGTTAGCAGGGTGGGACATCGATTCCCGTAAAAAAAAGAGGATGACGCACTCTCTACCCGATCTTCTCTTCAGTCTCACATCGACTACTGCCCTGAATTACGCTAGCCATTCGTCTAAGCTCAATGTAGCCATAGGTGATCCAGATGTTGGTGTGGAATTGTTGTCTTTCAGCGGCTGTACGTCACAAATAGTCTGCCGTAGAGCGTGTTTTTGAACAGAGTTAGGCAAAATCCCACTGATTGAAAACTGCACCACATTCTATGAAGTACAGGCCTATGGTTTGATCTTGGGAAGGATAAACGACGGTGGCTTATGTGAGTGCGTCGGCTCCTCGGTGGCATGAAGGCGCGAGTCTCAGACAATGGGACTGCTAGCAGATGTCAGGGTAAACAACCCCCGGGTAAGCTAAATATTGTCTTGTTTTCGCCCGCTCACCATCTCTATTTCAGCAACGAGCTAGCTCAACGTCTAGATAACGTACCAGTCGCCAATGCGGCCGTTGCCGCTGACTAGAACGGCTCCGTGGAGAACTGGTGGGACATAATCCAGTCGACGGCGCTGGCCGTACCCGGTCGCGCAACCCGCCACATACAGCCTGCTCTCCGAGAAGGACCGCCTGCAAAAAGCCTACAAAGACCACCCCACCGACGACGACGACAACAAAGCAGCATTCTACCGTTGCCGCCGCCTTGTGCAACAGCGGCTGCGCGAGATGCAGAACGCACGGACGGCCCGCAAGTCTATGGAGATCCAAGGGTACGCGGTCCACAACGAATGGAAGAACTTCTTCTCCGCCATCTACTGTCCGCCCACCAAAGGTATTGCACCTCTCCTCGGCGCCGACTGAATAACCACGCTCACCGAGAAGACACAAATTCCGCAACGATGGGCCGAACAATTCAGAGGCGTTCTCAATCGCCCCTCCACAATCTCCGACATCGCCATCGCCCGCCCGCCCCAAGTAAAGACCAACACCAACCTCGACCTCCCACCATCTCTCCATGAGAGTATCAGGACCGTGCAGCAGCTCTCCAGATGGGAATGCGCCCGCATCGGATGCCAGCTCTGCGGAGGTCTACAAGCATGATTGTCCCCAATTCATGGAGCATCTGACGGCACTGTTCCAGGATATGCGGCGTCCAGGAGAAGTCCCGCAGGATTTCAAGGACGCCACCACCATCCACCTATGCAAACGGATAGGAAACCGCCAGCTTTGCGACAACCACCGAGGCATCTTCGTGCTGAACATTGCCGGTAAGATATTCGCTCACATTCTTCTCAACCGCCTGAACAATCACTTGGATTAAGGTCTTCTGGGGAAAAGTCAGTGCGGCTTTCGCCGTTATCGTGGCACCACGCACCGGATCTTCGCCACCCACCAGCTGCAGAAAAAGTGTCACGAGATGCGGACCCACCTGCACTTTACTTTCGTGGATCTGACGAATGCATTCGACGGGGTGAATTGTGACGAAATGTGGATAATCATGCGGTGATTTGGCTGTCCGGGACGATTCAGTCAGAGGGTGCGTCAGCTCCATGATGGCATGATAGCACGCATCACGGACAGCGGAGTTGTCTCGGAGGAATTCGCAGTGACCAACGGCGTAAAACACGGCTGCGTCCTCACGCCTACTCCCTTCAGTCTTATGTTCCCCTCCATGCTGATGGACGCTTAACGCGACGAACGCCCTGGGATGCGCTTCGCCTAAGTGACGGCTGGCCACCTCCTCAAACACAGACAGATGCACCTTCAGTCGCGTATATCCACCGTCAACATCCATGAACTTCTGTTCGCTGATAAGCACCTCGGGATCCGCATCGCTATACAGAACTCTGAGCAAACTGTTTTTACACAGGAAGATTCAAATTTGATCGCGTCCTTCCACAACCACCGTCCACTAGGAGACTCTGCTGAAACAGCTCCATCTCAACGTGTTCACGGCACCCTCACCCATGTCAGATGTACACTGCTCAGCCCGAGTTGTGTGTTACCATGATGCTTGTGTTTTAGGAGCCAGGTCGTGCATGTGGCGCGCTCAGGCATGGTCATTAGACCCTGTCAGCCACCGCGCCCATTCCACGCTCCGGTCAACTGACCGGCTCGGGCAGTAGTTGCGGCCTGATAATGTAAAGTGAGAGTGCCATGGACGACTCAGCGCATTTTCCTCACTATAAAGTGTCTGAAGCTATCACGGTGCACTAAAATCCGTGGTTTGGAAGATTGTCAACTGACGGGATAACATGGATCTCGCAGTCGGCCCAATTTGTTTGTGTGTGTTTGTGTATGGAGTGGTTGGATGGTGGCCTTAGAGTCGGGTTCCAATGGCTCCTTCTTTATGTGGCTTCTATGACATTCCCAATGCGTGATATACGAGTCGGGTATGGCGGCACGCCTAGGTGCCGTTTCGGCCGCGCCAGCCTCAATTCTTAGTTCTTGTTGATGTTGTTGTTGGTTAAAAGCCCGGTTGTTTGATGCTTGGACCGGGGCTTATGGATATGAAACGACAAGGTGCGGGCTCCAAAGACCATCTGCTTGCGCCCTCCCTCACCTCCGGTTCTCTTGAAACTGTCTTGATGCCTGGTCCAGGTGGGGAAGGAGAAGAGTGTGGCACTTGTGGCGCAAGTCTTCTATCACTTTAGACTAAAGCACGCGCAAATCACGGTTTTTGATCACCGGAGGACGTCGTCGGATGCGACGGTCAAAATGTTGTAGCAGGAACTGATCCGTTTCTTCCTCTGAAAAAGATCGAGAGGTTAGGCTGTCTCGGGATTTATGCTCAGCAAAGATTCCACCGAGCACGACAAGCTCACGTAAATGAAGTCAAGCGTATTTAAGAAAACGCATGTTCAAACCTAACCCGGGTTAGTGATTTGGTTGCAACCAGAGATACGATTAACTGAATCGGCACTATCTACGTGGCAAGGCCCTGCTTCTTGGTGCGTACTAGGTGGACAGTCAGTCATAAGGGGCGCACCTCGAGTTGGTGGCCCCTGGACAGTGGAGGCGGCCTGCGAGCCTGCCGAGAAAAAATCGATCGCGCTCGATGAATGACGCAGCTGGCAGAATTCGTCAGATGGCCGAATGTTGAGTGCGAGTAGAAGCGCCCCAAGATGACATTGGCAGCAGGAAGTCAGTGGCGTGATGCGCTGGACCAACACGCGAGCTAGATCGGGGCTTGTCCGGCGTTAATTGGAGACGTGCACTCAGGAAATTTCAACATTTTGTCCAACTTTCAGACATACGCAGACTTTGTCCTTGCTAGATATTCACATTTCCATTAAAAATGTCAGTTACCTATGTCAGAAATGCCAGAGTCGGTTATTAAAACAAAAGACTGCGTTATTACTTGAAAAACGGTTGGATCACCTCCAGTCAAAATTTGGACATATCTACTCGACAGATCATCTGACGAAGTGCGAATATTTGCAGGAGTGCAGACGTTATTATCAATAATATGCTTGTGATAGTACAGCAATTTCAGTCGATGCTTATGTCACACTCTGTGCGCTCCCCAACTTCAATCTGTTGCTCTCCTTGTTCGATAATGAACTTGAAACTTCAAGTGAACATTCCTTTGGCCCTAGTGATCGAGTGATTTTCCTCACAGTAAATAACACTGTTAAGTAAGATCCAGTTCTGAAAATTAAATGGGTTCGGTCTCCGAAGTTCTCCTAAGAGAAACCGCAGTCTTCAGTATAGTTGTATGACTACCTCCGACAAAGCAGGCGTGATTATTCAGTCATTGCAAATATCGGTAATTTGCCATCAGAAGCCTTTTTACATTCAAAATGAAACAAATGCGATGGAGTTTTGATTAACAACGAAACACGCCAGTCAAATGCTAGATTAATGCGGATTCGTAAATCTGCGTTAGTGCTCCACCGAACATTGGTGCAAGATGCCCAGTGAAGTTCGAATTCACTGAATGATCACGCCCAATACGAGTCTCTAACGTACTTAATGGTTTCACTTTTTCAACTGTGCGTGTTGGTATATTCGCATAAATTAGAGAGGCATAATCCAGGACAGCAAACCAAAGGTGAGGGAGAGAAGATGCGGCAAATAATAAACAGACTTCACATTTCAGAACACCTGTAAAATGAAACAGTGAACACACACACGACAGTTCGATCATCGATTTCGATGATGTCTACCGTGTGCCCCACAGCAGGTGGGAGCAGGGACGGTGACTTGCGCAGGTGTTTATAGTGCCAGTAGACTTGCGTTGCATCTACCGACACTCTCTCCTCCTTCCCGCCTGAGTCCGGTGTCAGGACAAAGTCAAGAAGACCGGAGACGAGGGAGGCCGCAGGTGGATGGCTCGGACGGATCCTCACCTTGGCGTTCCAACACACCCCCTGGCCCACACAACAATTACCAGGATTTTAACCAACACAACACAGATTGGATGCTGGCACGGCCGAAGCAGCCGCACCTGGGCGTGCCGCCAACGCCTGGCTCGGATCCCACACTGTGGTGGGAGTGCCATAAAGGCCACATTGAGAAGGAGCCATTGCAGTCTGACTCTCAGACCACCACCGGTCGAGGAGGTGGTCCAAGTTATCCCGTCAGTTGGCAACCTTCCAAGCCACGGCTTTTAGCGCACCGTGATAGCTTCAAGCACGTCAGATTGTTTATAGTGAGGATGGGTGTGCTGAGACGTCGACCTCACTCTCCCTTCCCATTCCCACGCCCCAGCCACTGTCCGAGCCGGTCAGTAGACTGACGTGGGGAATGGGTGCGGTGGCTGGCACGGTCGACTGACCATGCCTGCGCGCGCCACACGCACGACCTAGCCCCCCATGCACACAAACACCAGGATTTCACACAACGGGGGATGAACGGCGTGTCTCTCACTTGCGTGAGAGGGCCGTGGAAGGTGCTGTTTCAGCCCGTCCCCAGCCCACCAGTCCGTCACTCCACACAACAAACACACAACGCGACGGACTGCCTGGACCGAGTAGGGCGTCAATCAGCAGCCTTCCTAACCACGACACTTGACGTGTCGGGATAGTCACGAACTCAGAACACCCGTGCAACCGAAGCCGCATGGGGCCCGAGTTGAGATGCACACTTCCCACTTGCGTGGGAGGTGGCAGTTGGGTGCATGCGGTGATGTGTGGTGGGTTGTGTTGTTGTGAGGGAGGGTGTGATGGTGTGGTGCAACCGGCGTGGGAGGTGACAATCGGGTGCATGAGGTGTTTGAGTGTTGATATGTGGTGGTGTGATGGTGGTTGTTGGAGGTATGGAGTGAGGGAATGTGTGGTGTGACCGGCGGTTGCTACCGCAGGTCGTCGTGGATGCGCATGTGGCCGAATAGGCCCATACGATGCCTGAATGTGCGAGGACAGTGTGGGCAGTTGAGACGGGCTTGGTGGGAGTAGGTTGGTGTTGCAGGCACTGGTTCTCCGGTCTCTGCGCGATTGAATCGCAAGTGACCGACGAGGCCTTTGCGAGAAACGAAGGTACGTGGGCAGTGTGGGCATGAGAGATCGGCGATGTCAGTGTCAGCTGTAGAGGCTTTGGCGGTGATGGGAGCGCAGGAGGATGGACCGGGTGTGGGGCTGGGCGTGGTGAGTGTGCTGGATGTGGTGGTGATTGTTGTGGGGGTGTCAGGATTGCGGTCAATTCCGCTCTCGTGGTTGCGCATGTGGCCGAATAGGCCCATGCGATGCCTGAAAGTGCGAGGACAGTGTGGGCAGCTGAGTCGGGCTTGGTGGGTGTAGGTTGGTGCGCCAGGTACTGGTTCGTCAGCCTCTGTGCGATGGATTCTCAAGTGACGGACCAGGCCGATGCGTGAGTTGAATGCGCGTGGACAGTGTGGGCAGGTGATGTCAGCGGTGTTGGTGTCAATTGCGGGGAGGGTGGTTGGGGTACAGGGTGATGAAGTGGGTGTGGCGTTCGGCATGACGAATGAGTCGATGCTGCCGTCAGTCCAGCTCTCGTGGATGCGCATGTGACCGAATAGACCCATGCGATGCCTGAAGGTGCGAGGACAGTGTGGGCAGTGGAGGCGGGTGGGGTGGGCGTAGGTTGGTGCTCCAGGCACTGGTTCGCCAGTCTCTGTGCGATGGATTCGCAAGTGACCGACCAGGTCGATGTGTGATGTGAAGGTGCGGTCGCAGTGAGGGCAGGTGTAGTCCTGATCCTCATCGCTGGAGTCGGAGGAGGTGGGGGTGGTGTCTGCGGGTATGTCAGGTTTGATGATATGTGAGAGGCCCTGAGCGGCCTTCGTAGGGGCAGTGGAGGAGTAGGAGGAGTAGAAGGAGGGGGAGGAGGAGGAGGAGGAGGAAGAGGATGAGGACGAGGAGGAGGAGAAGGAGGAGAGGGAGGAGGAGTAGGATGGAAGTGGTGGTGGTACAGAAGAAATGTCAGAGTTAGTTGGCGGTAGAGAGGACGAGGAAGATGTGGACGGGGGGACGATGGCTGGAGCAGTTCGAGTGTTGCAGTTGATCCGAAGATGTCCAACAAGTCCGATTCGTGCCAGGAATGTCCGGTGACATCGAGGACACGTTGGGAGCGGTTGTGCGGCGGCGTTGCGGACTGGGCGAATTTGTGATTTGCCGGCTTCACGTTTCGCTTTTTCGGCAGCGATTCGGTTGGCTTCATAGATAGCAGCGCCCGTCTTCACTGTTCTCCTCCATGTCGGACGATCGCGGGCGAGCTCTTCCCAGTTGGTCGGGTTGGTTTGCAGTCGCTTCAGGGAGGACTTCAGGGTACCCTTGTAACGGCAAATTTGGCCACCTTGACGGCGAGAACCCGTCGCGACGTCTCCGTAGAAGAGTCGTTTTGGTAGTCGCTCGTCGTCCATGCGCATCAGGTGGCCGCTCCGGCGCAGCTGCATTTGTTTCAACACACGGAATTTTAAATTATGCACAGTTATTTACCGGTGCTAGCCTGCAAGTCGGTCCATGATGAATTCGACGAACTGCGTAAGGAGAGGATTTACCCATGTTAAAATTCGGCGTGGCGGAATGTGCATTAAATAAACTAACTGTTTTTATTAACATCCTACGGTGCTTTAATGTAGAAACAGTCTGACATCCGGCGATCGCACACGGATATGTGCATCCCTGTGGGACATTTAGAGAGGGAAATTTATGCTATAAAATATATAAATGGCAAACAGCCCTCATGTACACGGATGCGTTCACAGAACATTCAAGAATTTTGAATTAACACGAATCGAGTGCTAGGTTAAGATTGCAGGGTGTTTGAAACGACCAAGTGTTCAGATGGCTAAACAAGATGCTGCCGGTTACGTTGATGATAGATAGGTGGATATTCCTCATTGGTAGAGAAACCTTGGAACTACTGCCAGACTAAAACTAAGCATAACATATTCGGCAGTTGGCATGTTTTTTAGTGTATGCTTTTTAATGCATTAAAAGGCTCCTTGCAGGTAGACCGCGCACAGGTATACACATACCTGCACAATTCATTAAAGCCCTGAGAATTGAAACTAAACAAATGTGCAATTTCTATAGAATGGTGCATTACACGACCTGGTAATCAGATGTCCATACGAGGTACAGCCAGTGAAGACTACGCGGGAGTATTGTGAATGGTTCAGTGGTAGTTCCATTAGACAAATAATCAACCAGGATCTCTCAACTTTGCCAATCTGAACATTGGCATTAATTGGAAACGGAAACTCAGCAATTTGCAACATTATGTCGACTTCAGCCTGCCACGGAAACCGCACTTCTGACAAAAAATTCCAGTTTCCAATGTCATAGAATCGCCAAAGTCAGTTTTTAGGACAAAGGATGAAGTTTGTATTTAAAAACGGCTAGATAGTAAACAGTCAAAAATTTAAACATATCTACTCGGGAAATCTTCAGACGAATAACGAGAAGCTGAAGTGAATGCGGTCGTTATCATTATAAACATGCGAATGATAGCACAGGAATTGCAGCTTGTAAACATTTTCCAATCTGTACGTCCCCAACTTCAGTCGGTTGCTGACCTTGATCGAAAAGTTATCGGGAAACTCAAGTGAACATTATTTTCGCTCCAGCGATCGTTGTGACAGGCGTGTTCGGAGTAGGGTCAAAGCGACAGCATTCGGGTATGCTCTCGCATAGGTGCCAAGATAGAGGTATTGCACTCGTGGATGACTTTAGAAAACGTGGGAACATACAGTACCTGTGCTAACTCATGAAATGTCACGAATTAACACAGGTTAACGCCTTTAACGCAAAATCGGTAAACACTACGGCTCCCAAAGTCTGATAGCGGAAAATAAACGATGTGCCAAAGAAATAAAGCAAAGTT